GACTACGACTACGAGTACTACTACGACTACTACTACTACTAACGACTACTACTACTACTACTACTACTACTACTACTACTACTCCAACTACTACTACTACTACTACTACTACTACTACTACTACTACTACTACTACTACTACTACTACTAGGTCAGAGGCTGTTCGGTAGCCTGTGTGTTTTCTCATATGCAGTAAGCGAATGCCCGCGCAGCGACGACGACGACGATGACGGTGGCAGCGGTGATGATAGAGCGTGTTTTGAGGCAGTCATGTCCCCATCGCGTCTCGCAGTGCTAACTACCGAACATGCGGTGACTGCGCTCATCTCTTATGCGCTCCACACTGGTCAGCGTGAGTACCCACGCTGCACCCTTACACTGAAAAAAGCGAGGAGGAGGGCGAGGAGGAGGAGGAGGAGGGAGATGACATTGGAGAGAAGAAGCTCCCGTCTTTCCGACACCTCCGGAGCTCTCGCATGAATGCAGGCACATGGGACGATTACCTTTCAAGGTCGCACGTCCAGTTGTGAAAGGGAATGCTTGCACGGACATGTGAATAGGGACCATGGGACGGAAGGGTGCATTACAGCATCGTTCGTGCACATTGGGCTTACTCTGAACTTCCTGTGCCTCGTCTTCCTCCTCCTGATCGTCCTACGGGATGGTGCATTGCAGCATCGTTGATGCATCATGGCGTCACTCTGGATATCCTCCTCCTGCTCCTCATACGGTAGGGTGCATTACAGCATCATTGATGCACCCTGGCTTCACCATGCACCTCCACGTCTTCCTCCCCCCCATCCTCCTCCTCTACCTCCTCCTCCTCCTCCTCCTCCTCCTCCTCCTCCTCCTCCTCCCTCCCTCCCCTCATCCGCTCCCCCTCCTCCCCACAGCTTCCATCAACTTCGCCAGCCAAGGCTCCAAAACCATTGAAAAACCAATAAACCCAAAACAAACCCAATTAATCCCTGTGAGGGTCCCAAAAAATTGAAAAAACGCAATCTTTTCGCTACTTAGTCGGCCTGGGGCTCGGGGGGCTGGGAATCAAAAAACATTGGAAAACCATTGAAAATCAAAAAAAATCAAAAAAATCCAATTAATTAATCCATGTGAGGGTCCCAAAAAACTCAAAAAACTCAATCATTTCGCAACTTAGTCTGTCTGGGGCTGGCCGGCCACCCAAGCCGAGTAAGTTGTGAAAACATTGGATTTTTTGAGTTTTTTGGGACCCTCACAAGGATTAATTTGATGTTTTTGGATTGTTTTGGATTTTCAATGGTTTTCCAATGTTTTTGGATTCCCAGCCCCAGAGCCCCAGGCCGACTAAGTAGCGAAAAGATTGCGTTTTTTGAGTTTTTTGGGACCCTCACAGGGATTAATTGGGTTTGTTTTGGGTTTATTGGTTTTTCAATGGTTTTGGTGCTGTTATCTCCGACTGCTCCTTCCTCCTCCTCCTCCTCCTCCTCCTCCTCATCATCATCATCATCATCATACTCCTCCTCATGGTTCAACGCACGTGGGAGGTTCACACACGCATGGCAGCGGAACAACACATACAACCAACAGCAAACATGAGACACGCAACAGCGCAGCAAACAAGTAGCACAACAAGTTAAACGCAGCACAGCGAAAACACACAGGCTACCAAACAGCCCCTCAGCTACTACTACTACTACTACTACTACTACTACTACTACTACTACTACTACTACTACTACCACTACCACTACTACTACTACTACTACTACTACGAACGACGACGACGACGACGACGACGAACGACGAGACGACGACGACGACGACGACGACGACGACGACGACGACGACGACGACGACGACGACGACGACGACTACTACTACGACTACTACTACTACTACTATTACTACTACTACTACCACTACTACTCCTACTACTACTATCACTATTCTCCTCCCTGCCATCCCTCTCCTCCTCCTCCTCCTCCTCCTCCTCCTCCTCCTTTTTTTGTCCCCGACTCCGCTTATGGTTGGGGTCCGCGCGGACCTCCCGGCCGAATCGAGTTGCTGCCCGGATGGATGGGGGCGTCGCCGCCGAAACAACCTCCGACGCTGCCCCCAGCGCGGCGACCACGCTCCACGCTGTTGGACCCGCTACCGCTTGGCGGCGGGGAGCAAGGCACAAGCGGGAAACCGTTTCGCCCTGCGTGAGTCCTGGCGCGACGAGAGCAAACCGCACTGCCAACTAATGCGGCGAGACTCGATTGGCAGCCAACCTGAACCCATCATAATCTGAAGCCCTGCGCAGTCCATATGCCGGCAGCAGGACAAATCCCAGCCAACCCTCCGGGCGGCCAGAGGGGCATTGAATAATTATATGAGTTTTCCTGTGCTACTCTTCCAAAAGCCATGACGGCCATGAGGGCTCGACTGGTAAGGATGTGTCATTTGATCGTTGCTTTCTACAAGAAACTCTTGCTCACCGTGCCGCGGCGTTGGCCCCAGCGACACGCTGCGCCTTGCGAGCTGGTAGCGCGCCGTCCTGCCCGGTGGGGCTCGCAGAAGAAAAAACATCACTCCCATTCCAAGGCCACGGCCCCCTCCGGCTTGCGAGCCGCAGCCCCTGATCCAGGCCGAAAGGGAAACAAGCCTCGGATGGCCGCGCCCGGCCGCCTTCGCGGGAGGGCGCGCGCAAGGTGACGACGCTGCAGTGCAGAGCGGAGGAGGAGGAGGAGGAGGGAGAGGAGGAGGAGGAGGAGGACGACGAGGAAGAGGGAGAGGAGGACGAGGAGGAGGAAGAGAAGGAGGAGAAGGAGGAGGAGGAGGAAGAGGAGGAGAAAGAGGAGATGACGAGGGAGAGGAGGAGGGAGGAAGGAGGAGGACAGGAGGAGGAGGAGGAGGAGGAGGAGGAAGGAGAGGGATGAGGAGAGGAGGAGGAGAGGAGGAGGAGGAGGAGGAGGAGGGGGAGGAGGAAGAGGACGAGGAGGAGGAGGAGGAGGAGGAGGAGGAGGAGGAGGAAGAGGAGGACAGGCACAGCGATGGAGCGGTGGTTGAACGATGCAACAACTCTGGAGCGCAACGGGGCGCCCTCCCTGAGCGGCAACGCGCAACGAAAATACCCCGAAATACGGCCGAAAATGTGAGACGCGACGTCCGAAACGCTCTCCTGGACTCACCGTGCGCCGCGGGGGTCTCAGGGACATGCAAACAACAAAGACACCTCGTGCAAAGGCGCGGCCTTCGGGCCCGAAAGACAAGGGGAGGAGGAGAGGGCAAGCAAGCGGAAGCGGGGGAAGCACGGCCGCGGGGCGTGAGCCACCCGACCCCGCTGGTTAGGCGCGCGTGCTGGGGTGGGGGCGGACGGGGGCGGCAAGAGGGGGGGACCCGCGCCTGCGGGGGTGGGTTGGCCGGCGCCCTTAATCGTCAGCCCCGCCAGGCCAGCAGGCCCACACATGGGCGGCCGCCCGCCGGCACAACGCCACGCCAGCAGCGCTGGCCAAATGGCGGTACCGCCACGCCCCGTCCGAGCACATCCTCCGCCGGGCAAGGCGGGTCGCGAGTGTGCAGAGGATGGATGTCGTCCAGGGGTGGGGCCGCCCGTAGGCTGACCAGACTGAGGCTTGGCAAAGGATGTTCTGGCGGTCCAGAACGTCGCTGTAGGGGGCGAAGTACGCCGTCTTGCGCTTGTACATGCTGGAGACGCAGTCTGGGCCGGTATTGCACGCGTCGGGAGAGGCGATCCCGATGTCGAGCGCCGTGAGCCCGTGCCCCAGCGCCCCCGTGAGCACGCCCGCGGGCCGCAGGCGGGTGCCCGGGATGAAGTTCTGCGCCTCGAGCTCGGTGGCGGGGTCGCAGCTCTTGACGACCTCGAACACCTGCCGTGCAAGCACGTGGTGGCCCTTCGTAGCCTCGGCTCTCCTCCTCTCCCTACTCCTCCTCCTCCTTTTTCCTCTTCTTCTCCTCCTCCTCCTCCTCCTCTTCCTCCTTCTCCTCCTCCCTCCTCCCTCTCCCCCTGCCCCCTCCTCTTCCTCCCCCTGCCCACTCCATCCTCCCTCCATCGCCTCAGGAGAGCGCCCGCGTGTTGAGCGCGGCCGTGCTGGCCCTCCTCCTCCTCGCCTGCCCAATCTGAAGACCGAGCGGGCTCGAAGGCAGGTCTGCGGCACCTGGGACGCCATCGAGGTGCGAGCGGGGAGAGACGGATGGCCCAAGTACACCGCATTTTCTGCCAGGGGAGAAGCACCGTGGGCTTGACACTTGGTGTTGAAGGGGGCTTTGGCCACTCCACCACCTCGCCATGCTGTGACTCATGAGGCGCCCTTCCCATCGCCATTCTCCCAGGCGAGAGACAGAGACAGAGATGGGGGCTTGTCATCGCGGATCCCCTGGAGGTGGATATGTGCCCACCCCACGCAGCCTCCCTCAAGCCTCCTCATCCTCCTCCTTCCTCCTCCTCCTCCTCCTCATCATCATCATCATCATCATCATCATCATCATCATCATCATCATCAGCATCAGCATCAGCATCAGCATCAGCATCAGCATCAGCATCAGCATCATCAGCATCAGCATCAGCATCAGCATCATCATCATCATCATCATCATCATCATCATCATCATCATCATCATCATCATCATCATCATCATCATCATCATCATCATCATCATCATCATCATCATCATCATCATCATCCTACCACCCTGTGCCACGTAGTACCCTTCTCTTATTTTCCTCCATCCTTCTCCCCTCTTGGTCCCCTCCTCTCCCTCCACCCTCTTGGTCCTCGCCCCTCTTGGTCCTCTCCCTCCCTCCCTCCTCCCTCCTCCTCCTCCTCCTCCTCCCGCTCCCCTCCTCCTCCTCCTCCTCCTCCTCCTCCTCCTCCTCCTCCTCCTCCTCCTCCGCTTCCCCCTCCTCCTCCTCCTCCTCCTCCTCCTTGTTCCTCATCCTCCCCATCCTCTTCGTCCTCGCCGTCGCTCGCCGCCGTTGCCAGTTTCGTCGCCGCCGTCTTCCGCTCGAGCTCGGACCGCGACGCCGCCGCCGCCGTCGGGCGGCAGGGGAGCGCCCGAGGCCCCGCCGGTCCGCGGCGAGCTCGGCGCGCAGCCTGGCGGCTCTGTCGGCCGGCGCCTGCGCCGCGGCGCGGCGGCGGTCGCGCGGAGGAGAGAACCAAAAAACATAATGTACTTGACCGTCCTTGTTTCCCTTGTCTTCGTTCCTTTGATTCGAACTATTGTCTTGTCCTCCCTCTTCCCTGTTTGCATTCCCGTTTCTCGCCTTTCCTTGTGAACCCTCCTCTGTCCTCCTCAATGTTCTGGCGGAGGCTCCTCCCTGGGAGGTCTCCGAAAGGCCCCTCGGAAGCTTTATGGGACTCATGGGGCCTCTAGAGGCCGCCCGAAAGCCCTTCGAGAGCCCCACGGGGCTTCTTCGGGCCACCTTTCTGCCAGCCGCGACTTCCCTCAACGACCGCCCCTCCTCAGCTCCTCCCTCGGGGATCGATCGACCCGGGTCAGTGCAAAACCTGGTCAGTGCAAAACCCGGGTCAGTGCAAAACAAGGTCCTGCAGGAGCCTCCAGGACCCTGCGCGCCAGCCTGGGCCCGTGCAACCCTCGCTTTGCAGGATCCTGCAAAATCCGGCGCTCTGGCTGGCTCCGTCTCTGCCAGCTCAAATGGGCTCCTGGCTCAAGGCCCTTGCCCCCTTGCCGTCGCTCGGACGTCCATTTCCCGTGCATTCTTCGGTTCCGTGCGTGTTTTTTTGTTGCTCGATGGTCCAGGACGGTCCTCGATGGTTCTCGCCGAGAGAAAAAAAGACGCACACGTCCGAGCGATGCCGAGGGCCCTGGGCTTGCCCCTGACGGGGTGCCACGCCCTGCCGGGAGCGCGCGGCGTCCTGGGGCACGCCCTCCAGCCGCAGCGCGCGCCCGCGGGAGAGCGTGCTCGGTGCTGCAGCAGCGCTGGCCAAGACGAGAGCAGGCGTCGCCAGGGCCCCTCATCCCCACCAGCTCACCCCCCCCCTTCCTCCTCCTCCTCTCCTCCTTCCTCCCCTCCTTCATCTCCTCTCCTCCTCCTCCTCCTCCTCCTCCTCCTCCTCCTCCTCCTCCTCCTCTCCTCCCCCTCCTCTCCTCCTCCTCCTCCTCCGTTTCTCCTCTCCTCCCTCCCCTCCTCCTCCTCCTCCTCCGTTTCCTCCTCCTCCTCCTCCTCACCTCAGCCTCCTCCCTCTCTCGCCCCGGCAGCGGAGGCAGACTGTCGCAGCGTGCCTCGCGCTTCGCCTCGCGCTCGCGGGATCGCCTGGGCGAGGGCGCCCCCGCGGCGGCCTTCTCCTCCTTCTGCTTCCTCCGTCCTCCGTCCTCCTCCTTCCCCATCCACTCTTCCTTCCTCCTCCGATCCTCCTCCGTCCTCCTTCCTCGTCCTCCTCCTCCTCTTTCCTCCTCCTTCCTCCTCCTCCTGCTTCCTCCTCCTCCGTCCTCCTCCTTCCTCATCCAATTTTTGTTCCTTATGAATACGTCCTCCCGGTCGCACCCCGAGGTCAGTCGGAAAGGTGGGCCGGGCGTTTCGCCTGACACCTCCTCACTCATTCGGACCCTGAAGCTTGGAAGCTGGCAACAGCTTCACAAATGGAGGGTGCGTGGTTTTCAAAATGTGGCTCTCGCCTTAGCGCCGCACGCACTCGTCTTAAACATCTGCAAGACCTTCACAGATTGAGGGCGGGTGATGTTCAAAATCTGGCCATCGCCTAGGCGCCGCGCACATTCGTCTTAACATTTGCAAGAGCTTCACGCATTGTGGGCGGGTGGTTATCAAAAGGTGGCTCTGGCATTACCGCCGCGCATATTCGTTTTAAACATTTCCAGGAGCTTCATGGATTGAGGGCGGGTCGTGTTCAAGATGTGGTTCTCGCCTTAGCACCGCGCACATTCGTTGTTTCTTCAAAAGTTTCACAGATTGAGGGAGTGTCATTTTCAAAATGTGGCTCTCGCCTTAACACCACGCGCAGTCTGTAAACATATTTAAAGAAATAATGTCACGGCTGCACATGGTTAGTACCACAAGTGGCTTTCCGAAAGGATTCAGGATTGCCAGGGCGCGACAGTTACGTTGATTCGCGGTGGTGAAGTCACAGGAACGGCGTTCTGCCACGATTCAGGACCGTCAAAACGAAACAATCACATTGATTCGTGGTCTTGGAATCCCGAGAATGGTATTTTGGCAAGTTCTAGGATCTTCAAGCGGTTGTCTCCCAACAGGGCACTTCCCTCAATGAAAATGAAACCTTGTAGGGGCCTATGAAGAGAGAGCCTGGAGGGAGGGTATATTCCAACATCGTTGATTAGTCTTGGGTGTCCATTGGTCCTTCCTTCTCCTCCTCCTTCCTCTTCCTCCTCCTCCACTTTCCTCCTCCTCCTCCTCCCTCCTTCCTCCTTCCTCTTCCTCCTTCGTCCTCCTTCCTTCCTCCTCCTCCTCCCTCCCTTCCTCCCTCCTTCCTCTCCTTCCTCTCCTCCCTCCCTCCCTCCTCCAGACCCTCCCTCCTCCTCCTCCTCCTCCTCCTCCCTCTCCCTACTTCCTCCAACCTCCCCTCACCTCGTCCTGCTCCTCGTCTCCTCCTCCCTACTCCTCTGTCCTCACCTCCACTGCCACCCCTGCTCCTCCTCGTGGTTACCCCGACTCTGACCTCAAAGATCGCATCGCCTCTCCTCTTCCTCCTCCTCCTCCTCCTCCTCCTCATCCTCCTCCTGCTTGCTCTTCCTCATTGCTCCCCATGCTTCCTCCTCCTTCCTCCTTCCTCCTTTCTCCTTTCTCCTCCTCATCCTCTTTCTTCCTCCTCCTCCTCCCTTTTTCCTTCCTTCCTTTCCTTCCTTCCTTCCTCCGTCCTTACCTTCCTTCATCCATCCCTCCCTCTCCTCCTCCCTACCTCCCTCCCTCCCTCACTCCCTCCTCACTCCCTCTCATACATTCCTACCTCCCTCCCGCCTCTCTCTCCTCCTCCTCCTCCTTCTCTCTTCTCCTTCTCATCTCCTTCCTTCCTCCTTCCTCCTCTTCCTTCCTCTCCTCCTCCATCCTTCCTCCCTCCTTCCCTCTCCTCCTACCTCCCTCCTCCCTCCTCCCTCCTCCCTCCTCCTCCTCCTCCTCCTCCTCCTCCTCCTCCTCCCCCTCCTCCTCCTCCACCTCCACCTCGTCCTCCTCCTCCTACTCCTCGTCCTCCACCTCCACCTCCTCCACCGCCACACCCTGCTCCTCCTCGTGGTTACCCCGACTCTGACCTCAAAGATCGCAGCGCCTCTCCTCTTCTCCCTCCTCCTCCTCCTCATCCTTTTCCTCCTGCTTGCTCCTCCTCGTTGCTCCCCATGCTTCCTCCTCCTCCTCCTTCCTCCTTTTCCCTCCTTTCTCCGTCCTCCTCTCTCCTCCTCCTCCTCTTCCTCCTCCTCCTCCTCCTCCTCCTACTCCTCCTTCCTCTCTCATCCTCCTACCTCCTCCTCCTCATGTTCCTCCTCCTCCTTCCTTCCTTCCTTCTTCCTTCTTCTTCCTTCCTTCTTCTTTCCTTCTATCTTCCTTCCTTCTTCCTTCCTCTCCTTCCTTCCTTCCTTCCTCCTCCTCCTTCTCTCTAACTACTCCTCCCCTCCTCTGTCCTCCTCTTCCTCCTCTCCTCCTCGTCTCCTCCTCCTCCTCCTCCTCCTCCTCCCCCTCCCCCTCCTCCTCCAACTCCACCTCCACCTCCACCTCCACCTCCACCTCCACCTCCACCTCCACCACCTCCACCTCCACACCTCCACCGCCACCCCCTGCTCCTCCTCGTGGTTACCCCGACTCTGACCTCGAAGATCGCAGCGTCTCTCCTCCAGCTCCTCCTCCTCCTCCTCGTCCTCCTCTTCTTCCTCCTCCTTCGGCTCCTCCTCGTCCTCTTCTTCCTCCTCCTCCTCCTTCGGCTCCTCATCTCCCCTCTCCTCTTCGCTGCTCCCCATGCTTGCTCCTCCTCGTCTCCTCTCCCCCCCTCCCCCCCCGCCCCTGATCGCTTCTCTCCGCCCTCCGCACCCCCACGCCCGACAGGGTACAAGAGACGGCCGGCGGCAAGCCGCGGAATTGCCGCGCACCCCGTGCGGCCCTGGCTCCCGCCCGGGTCCCGCGTGCCGCGGACGACCGACAAGGATGCAAAAGTGCCCTGATGCGGAGTCACGAGTCTTCGTGAGCTCTCTGGAATGGCCGGCCAGCGAAGCAAGAGCGACAGCGTTGGATAAGGATTCCCAGGGCCACCCCGCGTCAAAGCGAGAACGAATACAATGGAGCATCGCGTTGACATCGGCATGACAACGACGATGACGAAGATGACACGGACAATCTCAAGTGGCCCATGCGGAGAGATTGGGCTGTGAGCGGGTCCAAGTTGGAGTGATTTCTGGCCCTACTCTTTATGGGACGGAGACGGAGTAATTCTCGCCCCGTGTCAAATATATCATTATATTGCTACGGGGTACAAACCCATCGGATTCGGACCGCTCCCTGACCAAAAATCTGTCGCTAAGATTATACGGGGGGTCGGGGGGGTCCAAAGCTTGACGTCCTATGGTAAAAACTATAGTCCCCCTGTGCAGAATGTATGTGTGTGTGCCTGTATGTGTGTATGTGTATTGATGTATTTGTATATGGATATGTGTACGGTGTACGTGTGTATGTATATACGTGTGTATGCATGTATGTTTGTATGCATGCATGCATGCATGCATGTATGTATGCATGTATGCATGTATGCATGTATGTATGTATGTATGCATGCATGCATGCATGCATGCATGCATGCATGTATGTATGTATGTATGTATGTATAGGCCTCAGAACCCCACATGAACCCCCTTTTCTCCTGGAAGATGCCAAGAGAAAAGGGGGGCGGAAGCGCGTTGAGTTTCGGTTCTCGTGTTGTGTTGTGTTGTTAGTTGGAGCCAAAGCGTTGTGTCGTGTATCGGGGTGTTGTGTATCGGTTGTGTGTTGGAGACGGAGGAAGTTGAGTAGAAGGATATTTTCAAGTTCATCTTGGGGAGGGAGCCTGTCCAGTATCGGGTGTTGTGTTGGAGAAGGAGGCTGTTGAGTACTGGGTGCTGTGTTGGAGGCGGAGGGAGTTGAGTAGAAGGTTATTTTCAAGTTCATCTTGGGGAGGGAGCCTGTTGAGTATCGGGTGTTGTGTTGGAGAAGGAGGCCGTTGAGTACTGGGTGCTGTGTTGGAGACGGAGGAAATTGAGTAGAAGATTATTTTCGAGTTCATCTTGAGGAGGGAGCCTGTTGAGTATCGGGTGTTGTGTTGGAGAAGGAGGCTGTTGAGTACTGGGTGCTGTGTTGGAGACGGAGGGAGTGGAGTAGAAGGATATTTTCAAGTTCATCTTGGGGAGGGAGCCTGTTGAGTATCGGGTGTTGTGTTGGAGAAGGAGGCTGTTGAGTACTGGGTGCTGTGTTGGAGACGGAGGGAGTTGAGTAGAAGGTTATTTTCAAGTTCGTCTTGGGGGAGGGAGCTGTTGAGTATCGGAGTGTTGTGTGGAGAAGGGGGCTGTTGAGGGTGCTGTGTTGGAGACGGAGGGAGTTGAGTAGAAGGTTATTTTCAAGTTCATCTTGGGGAGGGAGCCTGTTGAGTATCGGGTGTTGTGTTGGAGAAGGAGGCTGTGGAGTACTTTGTGCTGTGTTGGAGACGGAGGGAATTGAGTAGAAGGTTATTTTCAAGTTCATCTTGGGGAGGGAACCTGTTGAGTATCGGGTGTTGTGTTGGAGAAGGAGGCTTTTGAGTACTGGGTGCTGTGTTGGGGACGGAGGGAGTCGAGTAGAAGGTTATTTTCAAGTTCATCTTGGGGAGGGAGCCTGTTGAGTATCGGCTGTTGTGTTGGAGAAGGAGGCTGTTGAGAACCTGAACCCAAAATGTCTTCCAAAAAACAGCCTCAAAATTCAGTCTGGAAATCGTGGGAATCATATATAAATTCGTATGCAATCAGGAGAAAGGGGGGTTCTTGTTGGGTTCGGAGGGCTATGTATACATGTATGTATACATGTATTCACGTGTACATTGATGTGTGTGTATGTACGCACACATGAATATTAATGCATGTGTATGTATGCATCTATGTATGTAAGTAAGTATGCATGTATGCATGTATGCATGTATGCGTCTATGTATGTACATACGAATGTATGTATGCAAGTGTATAGTTCTGTGCGTGCATGTCTGTGTGTATGTAGGTGTGTCTGCATGCATGTGTATTTATGTATGTGCATAAATGCGCATGTATGTGTATGCAGCTGTGTGCTTATGCATGTATGTGTACGTATATGTGTGTACATGGATGAATCTACGTGTGCGTCGTGTGGTCTTTCCGCGCCGCCTGCCAGTCCTGCCGCTTCTCCTCCTCACTCTGCTTTTCCTGTGCCGATCCTGCTGCCGCCGCCGATGGCGCTGCTGCTCTCAAGCACCCCTTCCTCGTGCTCTCGCGCGTGCTCTCTCGGAACACGCTCCCTCGTGCTCTGTGCCGAAAATCACGGCGTGAGGCGCGCTGACAGATACGTTCGGACAACGACGGGAGGGGCAGCCTATGGCACCCTGGCGGTCGTGGCTCACCGAAGAACATGCCATGACGGCGATGAATGATCGGTTGTAGGTCGATGCGCCCCCCGCTGAGCGTGTCCTCTCCCGGCGTTGCCCCCCGTCCTTCGGCTGGCCTAGCGGATGGCGGAGGGGGCCAGTTCGAGAGCCGCCGAGCGCGCGGCCTGGGGGCAGGCCGCTTGGGGCTGCTGCTGCTGCGGGCGGCCGTGACCCGCTTGGGGCTGCCGCGCTTGGCGGGGCGCTTGGGGCTGCTGCTGCTGCGGACGACCTGGGCTCGGGGAACTTGTTACTCGGCGGCGCCGGAGGACGCTGGAGTCTGGTTTTTGTTCTCAGCCCTTCCGTGCTAGGTTCTCGTTTCGAATACAACTCTGCTGTCCCCACTTCTCCTTCCCGCCCCCTTCTCCTCTTTGCTTCCTGCCTCCTGCCTGCCTCCTGCCTCGCCGTTTTGTGGGGGCATTCCTGGGGGGCTGCGAACTGCGAAACTTGTCGCTACCTTCGACAGCTGATGGGGGCGAGGCCAGCATAGTGTGCACCAGGCGCAGATCCAAATTGGATCTCGTCATCCCGGGAGAGCTGCGAACTGCGCAACCGTTTCCCGCATTCGAAATCTACTGGGGGGGCACAGCTGGGTTACGTTTTACACATGACAAGCTCGAAGCATCCCTCGCCGTCCGTGGGGGGCTGCGAGGTGCGAAACTGCCGCCACTTCCAAAAACTGGTGGGGGGTCCAGCTGAATGGCGTCCCGCGCACAATCTGCCTAGACCTCGCCATCCCTAGGGGGCTGCGATCTGCGAGACTGTCGCCACGTTCAAGGTATCCTGGGTGGTCCAGTTGAGCGACGTCCTCCGCAGACTCACATTCGACCTCTCCGCCCCCGAAGGGGCTGCGGACTGCGAAACTAGTCGCCACTTTCTGGGCCTGCTGGGGTGGTCCAGTCCAGCTGAATGACGTCCTACGCAGACCCAGATTGACCCTGATCTCCTTTCCCGCCCGCCCGATCACCTGGACGCGCGCCTGTGGGCGACTAGCTCCCGGACTGAAAGGTGCAGGAAGGAAGCGGAGAAGCTGGCGGGCGAGCTCGGCCTCGCTCGCTTCTTGCACTAGCTGTGAACAGCTGATCATCTGGAGCGCTGGAGCGACACGGCGCGGGCCGCGTTGCTTGTCCGCCGCCCTCCTTCCTCATTCGTCCTCCTCCTTCCACTGTCTCGCTGCTGCTGTTGCGTTAACTTTTCGGCCCCTCTTGCGACCTTTCCTTGCCCCTCGTTCCTACCTCCACTTCCTCTTCAAGCCTGGGGCCTTGGTCCTCGTCGTTGTGTTGCTGCCCTGTGAGTCGTGCAACGCGCGCGCTTCCCATGTAGATCGCGCAGCCATTGACAGATCCTGTGATGCCATCAGCCATACTATTCTGGATCAGCTCCCCTTGGCACGTAATGCAAACGAGTTGGGTACGTCGCAGGGTGCTTGTTCGGCGATCGCCAGGTATATCCAGTGGGGGGGGGGGGCCAGCCGATAACCTAACCTTTTTCGCTTTGGGCTGCCCCACGCGTCCCCGTGCGCACCAATGCTGCGTACCCCCCTTCGGACCTGCACAGCCGACAAGGTCAGGCTATCCAGAACGAGGGGGCGACGCTGGCGCGGGTGTCAATTCCGGCGGGCCGCGCCAGGCGCGCAGCGCAGGCGCGAGTAGAAAAGAAGCGGGCGGCTGCCGAGGAGCGGGCTCAGGGAACAAACCCGCCGACCCCCGCTTGCCGGGGGCGAGACTCGCCATCGCTCGGACGTCCATTCCCTGTGTTTTTTTTCGGTTTCGTGCGTGGTTTTTTCGCCAAATGATCAAGGATGTTCCTCGATGGTCCTCGCCGAAGGAAAAATGCACACGTCCGAGCGATGCCAAGGAGAAGGCGTGTGAGGCGATTTGCTGCCCCCCTCCCCCTTCGGAGGTTGCTACAGGTGCCCCCGGCCCACGGTGCCCCACCAGCTTTTCGTTCAATTTTGGCGCCCCTGGGGCCCTCTGGGCCTCGTCAGGGGTGCTCTGGAGGCCGTGGGGGCCTCCTTGGAAATCCTGGGGGCACCTTTGGCCAGGGGCGCTTCTAGAAACACCCGGCACCTTTCCCCCTCCCCAGGAGCTCCAAATCACATTAGGCGGGGGGGGGGGGGGGGCGGAGGGGAAACCGAGCACCCCTGCACACCGCGGGGCTCTCTGGAGCTTCCAAAGAGCCCCAAGATGGCCCACTGAGCGCCGAGACGGTCCAAGAGAGCGTCGGGACGGCCCAGGGTAACCCCGCGTCCAAGATGGCTTCAAGACAGCCTAATTATGAGGCACCCCAGACGGCCCAAGAGTACTCCCAGATGTCCGCCGAGAGGGCCCCAAGAGGCAAAAGTCGTCTCATTCCCAGTGGGGAAACGTACATGTTCGAAATGCACGCCTTTTTCGTTTTGACACCTCCCAATACAGCCCAAGGAGCCCCCAAGATCGTCCCAAGACGGCTCATGAGGCCCAAGAGGGGCAATACGAACTGACACATCGAGTCTTTCCCGCCGAGGTGGCCCCAAGAGCCCCCCAGTGACCCCCGAGGCGCCCCCAAGATGCCTAAAGAGGCTTCCAAAAGGCCCCCAAGAGGCCCATAAACGCCAACCAGATGCACCCACGAGCCCTCCAAGAGGCCCCAAAGAGCCATCCCCGGAGAGCCGCATCTGCATCCTCCCCGCCACTCCTGACCCACAGGACTCGAACTGACATTCCGAGCCCTCCGCCCCAAAAGGGCCCCTGAGACCGCCAGCAGTCGCCCAAGAAACTCCCAAGAGGCCCGAAGAGGCGCCCAAGAAGCCCGCAAAAGGCCGCGAGAGGGTCCCCAAGGGTCGGAAGGAGCAGCGAAAGCCCTTTGAACAACGATGTGAACATAAACTTGCGGAGGTCCGCGCGGATTGCTCGAAGCGGCGCTGGAGCCCCCTGGCGGCGCCTTCGGCGCCGCCACTGTCGCGCTCCGCGCGCCAGGGAGGGGTGTCCAGCGCCAATCCAAGAAATCAGCGCGGACCTCCGAAAAGTTCATATGTATGCAATTATGCGTTCCCCGATGGGCCACGAGGGGGAAGAGGGGGCCTGCTGGGGGCGACGATTGGGGCGAATATCTCAGGGGCGGGCATTACACGCAATTGCCGGGTCGCCTCGCCGAAGGCATGAAGGCATGAACCATCCGCGCCCCTGGACACGTGGACTGCTCCCCCCGGGCCATTCGCCACTATCGTCGCCGCCGAGCCTTGCTTACCCGAAGCCTCCGAAGGACTACTCCTTCAATCTCGGCGGCCTCCAGCAGGAGCCGTGTTCGCGGACCCAGGGGGCCACACAACACGGGGGGCGAATGCTGCTGCCCAAACAGAAGGGCCCGGGACTTCCAGTGCGCACGGACCGAAGAAACAATTCCGTCGGAGGTCTTGGCACGGGGACGGGGCGGCCCCAGCCACAAGGCATAGGAAGGCCGCCAACGCGGCACACCGCGTCGAGGCGAGGGCGCTTACGCGCGAGCTTGTCCGGGCAGTCTGCGCGCGAGTGCCCAGGCAGTCGGCCGCCAAAATTGAAGTGTCGCTCGCCTGGGCCCGCTTGGGGCTGCCGCGCTTGGGGCTGCCGCGCCTGGGGCTGCCGCGCTTGGGGCTGGGCCGCAGGGGCTTCCGCGGCTGGCGCGCGCGCTCCTGGTCTTTCCCCGGCGGGATGCTGGGCGGAAGGGGCGGGCTGGTGGGATATCCGAGGGCCCTCCTCCCCCGAAGCTGGAAGATCGAGGTTTGTAAATGTTTGTGGTCCGCTTTGGGCCTCTGGGAAGCTTCCCTTCGCCACGTCTGGAGACAACCCGATCTTTTGTTGTCAGGGCGAATCCTGGACCCCTGGCAATGGGCCTCGATCTGTCGTCACGCACACGGGAAGTGGCGGGGGCGGCCTGCTCAAAGGCAAAAGGGCTTATTCGAAGCCGTCCTATCTTGTGAGGAGCCTTTTGGAAAGCCGCCGATCCCTCCTGCGAATCCACTGAAGGCCGCCCCCCTCACGTCAGCCCCTTCCGCGCGCCGTTAGTCCAAACCTTCGGCGTCGTGATCTGTTCGATGCGTTGCCCCCCAGGTATCTCGACAACCTCCCTGGGGCCCGTTCTTCCATCGCGGGCTGTATTCTGACGACGCCTGTCGCCAGAAGCGCCTCTCCGGTGGCCGGCATCGGGGACAAAAGCGCGGCGGCATTGAACAAATCGCGACGTCGGCGCCTGCGTAGGAGGTCTGTGGGGGTCCCCAAAGGCCTCCGAGAGTCCGACAAGACGGCCAAGCACGTCCAGAAACTTAAATCCTCGATTTTGCTTATTGCTAATCCTCCTCCTCCTCCTGCTCCTCCTCCTCCTCCTCCTTCTCCTCTTCCTCCTCCTCCTCCTCCTCCTCCTCCAGCCCTCTTCTTCCTTATAAATAACTCCTCCCTGTCGCTCCCCGAGGCCGGTCGAGAGGGCGGGCCTAGCGTTTCGCCTGAGACTTCCTACCACTTACGACCCCGAATTCGTCAAACAAGTGCAGCAGCTTCACGGATGGAGGGCGGGTCGCTTTCAATATGTCGCTCTCGCCTCGGCGCCGCGCACATCCGTCTTAAGTTTTCAGTAACTTCGCCGATGGAGGGCGGTCCGCTTTCAAAAGTGGCTCTCGCCTAAGCACCGCGCACATTCGTTTTAAAAGTTTTCAATCGTTTCGCGGATGGAGGGCGGGCCGTTTTCAAAATCTGGCTCTCGCCTCAGCGAGGCGCACATTCGTCTTAAGAGTTTGCAGCAGTTTGAAGGATTCTCATGGTGAACGTCCCAGAAATGGTGTTTGGGCACGATGTCTGAAAATCAGGGCGCAACGCTCACGTTGATTCGGTGATGAAGTCCTAGGAAAGGTGTTCTGGCATACGGTAGTTGAAGATTTTCAGACGGTGAGAATGAACCCTTGCAGGGGCCTGCGAAGAGGGAGCTTGGAGGGAGGGCTTATTTCAATATCGATGATGGGTCTTTGTCTTGCACTGGTCCTCCTCCTCCTCCTCCTCCTCCTCCTCCTCCTCCTCCTCCTCCTCCTCCTCTTCCTCTTCCTGCTGATCTTCCTCCTCCTCCTCCTCCTCGTCCTCCTGCTCCTCCTCCTCCTCCTCCTCCTCCTCCTCCTCCTCCTCCTCCTGGGCAGCAGGACTTCTGCCGCGGGCGCTCTGCGCCGAGCTCGTCGGACTGCCGGGCCGGGCGCGGGCGGGCGCCCACCCCGGGCGCTTCCGAGCGAGGCCCGGCCGACAAAACGGCTGCCCGGCCAGCATCCGCCGCGGCGGGAGACACGGGCTGCGCCGCCGCCCCGCAGCCCCGCCACGGAGCTGCCGGCACGGGCGCGGAGGCACCCGGCCGCGCTGGCCGGTCCGGACGCGCTCGAGCGGGGCTCGGCGGACGAAGGGATTTCCTGGGCGGCAGCAGCCGCGGCAGGGGGCGCGGGCGCCCGGAAAGGCGCAGCGACATCTCCTGCCGATGGAGCTGTCGGAGTGGGGCCCGTGGTCGGGTGGACCGAGAGGTGTCAGCGACGAGGCTCGACCTCGTAGGTCTAAATCCGGACACCCTGCTTTGTCCGCAACTGGGCGCGCCACACTGGCCTCGAGCGCAGGCGCTGCTTCCCGAAGCTGCCGCCGAGGTTCTCTATCGCCCGTGCCCGCAAGCTTCCACTCGCGGGCCAACCCTGGAGGGCAGACTGTTCAAGCTGCGCGCGGGGCCAAGCGGCATGCCTCTCAAACTTGCGAGATCAACGGGCGCCAAATTCTGAGCTGCAACATCCCAGCGGAGGCCGGAATCGACGCAAACCATGGGGGTCTCACCAGAAGCCAGCCAGCCTTGAGAGCGCAGTTTTGTCATCGAAAGAAGTGAGCAGCAGCCGATTGACAGCGCTGCTGGAAGGCATGCGCATGCCTTGCCCCCCCCAATCCTCCGAAAGGAGCACTGGAACTTTTCCCCTTGAGTCGCGCCGCGGGATATCCTCTCGTTGCGACACGCGCTCGCACTGCGCAACCAGCTCTTTTCATTGAGTTTCGACGCCGATGCAATCTTTTCTCGCAACTGGACTTCCTGAGATTGAGACCCACGGCCCAAACAGTTCTGCGCGGCTTGGGCGACGCCCTCTGCCTCACCACTGTCAACAATGAAGCCAAGGAGAAAACGATGTCCCCCATGAGGCGTCGGCTGAGAAGAACAAATACCACCTGGGCGACTCCAACATAGAACCAATGGGGGGCCATCCGGAAGGAACGCATTCCCGGGGCGCGCCGATGAACCCAGGGGGTTTGGTTTCCGCAGGTGAAGCAAAACATCTTTGGCGAGGGGTTCGGGTACGGGGGTTACCACTGCCTGATTCCGGAAGAGGAATGAACTCTTAGCCGCGGGGGTGCTGGCGCACGGGGTCCCACCCTCCCCAAGCGCAACCAAAGGAGGAAACGCGCGACAGCCCATGTAGTAAATCTAATGCAGCATCACTCTAATAGTAGTTGTTCTCGGGATTTGTACTAGTATTACTTGCACGCTCCTGTCTGTCCGTTACCGAAATTGGCATTCTATAGTGTCCCCGTTGTTTCCGTGCTCCCAGATCTTATAGTATTTTGTGATTCCTAAATCAAGTGTCTGTATACTGTTTCCTGAAATGCCCCAATCGCATTTTGATACGACTAGTTGTACTGCGTGACCAGGTGTACAGCTGCGCGCTAACAAATGATGGTGCCAGTTGTGCTCGAATGCTATGTGCACTCTAGCTGGAGGGGTTCAGGGGTTCCAGCGGCACTTCGCGCGCGGACGGGAGAAACGTATCCATGCGCCGCCAAAGATCCCAGGTTGAACGGCTCGCCGCGAAGGTGGAGCCCCCCGCGGAAGGAAGAACAGAAATCCAGCTGGGGGGGCGGGGGGGGGATTCAGGCATGAGTCGCGGGGGCGATGATCAGATATGCGCGAACGAGCAGTACATCGCACAGGTCGAGCTGCCGCGCACACTGGGCGAAGCCGCCCGCGGCAAGCGGTCCGGCCCTGGCGCGTCGGGGCCGAATCGTACACTTCTCGGCCGCGCCTCAAGCGCTCCGTTTGTGGAGGCCACGACAGTGGACCCCCTGACGGTCCTATCACTGAATTGAAAGATGTGTTTAACATGTCAGACAAATGTTCTACAAATATTTTAAACATGTTCTTTTTACATGCTAAAGCATAGTTAACACATGTTTTAGACATCTGGAGATTGTTTGGCAACGTGCTTCCTCTCCATGGATCGCCCTCCACAACGCTCTGTCATTTCTGGATCCAGCGCCCAGGTTAGGACCGGATTGAGCAGCGAGGCTGGGGACTCAGTGGGCCGGCGCAGCAGTAAGCATCACATCGCAGCGGGCGAACTGTCAATTACGCTGGGGGTCGTACCGTGCAGATGCACATGGAACCCTTCTGGACGAACATGCCAAGCCTAAGCGGCCCGCAGCTGCACCCAGGAGTGTACGGAGGAGGGTGCGAGCGAGGGGAAGGAGGAGGAAAAGGAGGAGAAGGAGGGAAGAGGGAGGAGGGAGGAGGGAGGAGGGAGGAGGGAGGAGGGAGGAGGGAGGAGGGAGGAGGAGGAGGGAGGGAGGGAGGAGGAGGAGGAGGAGGAGGAGGAGGAGGAGGAGGAGGAGGAAGGAGGAGGAGGAAGAGGAGGAGGGAGGAGGAGGAAGAAGGAGGAGGAGGGCGGTCAGGAGGGAGGGAGGAGGGAGGAGGGAGGAGGGAGGAGGGAGGAGGAGGGAGTGGGAGGAGGAGGAGGAGGAGGAGGGGAGGAGGAGGAGGATGAGGATGAGGAGGAGGAGGAGGAGGAGAAGGAGGAGGAGACGGAGGAGGAGGAGAAGGAGGGAGGAGGGAGGAGGAGGAGGAGAGGGGAGGAGGGAGGAGGGAGGAGGGAGGAGGAAGGGAGGAGAGGAGGGAGGAGGGAGGAGGGAGGAGGGAGGAGGGAGGAGGGAGGAGGAGGAGGAGAGGAGGAGGAGGAGGAGGAGGAGGAGGAGGAGAGGAGGAGGAGGAGGAAGAGAGGAGGAGGATGAGGAAGAGGAGGAGGAGGAACAGGAGGAGGAACAGGAGGAGGAACAGGAGGAAGAGGAGAAAGAGGAGGAGGAGGAATAAGATGGGGCAGGATGAGGACGTCGGAGGAGGAGGAGGAGGAGAAAGAGGAGGGGGAGGGGGAGGAGAACGGGAACTTGGCATGAAAAATCGGGTCCCTAGGGAAACGGGTCCTAGACCCTTGGGCTTCCCTCCGGGACAAGTTTTTCATAACGAGCTGTTCTGGGGCAGTCCCAGGGTCGATGGAGGGCCCCAGGGAGCCAGAAACGCTGAGAAACCGCAGGACCCGCTTAATGGTGGGGAGGGGGGTGGAGGACGAGGAAGGACAGCGACGACGACGACGACGACGACGACGACGACGACGACGACGACGACGACGACGACGACGACGGCCCCCACCCTGAGCGGCGGCTCCTTCTCCTTATCGCGGTCCCTGGAGCGCCGCGGCCGCCGGTCCTTAGAAGTTCGCCGTCGTTCGCCGCCGTCCGCGTCGGCGTCGTCCGTCATCCGTCGTTGTCGTCATCGCCGTCGGCGTCGTCACAGGGGTCGTCGTCCGTCGTTGTCGTGGTCGTGCATTGTCGTCGTCGACAGCGTCGTCGCTGTCCTCCTCCTCGTCTTCCCCCTCGTCCCCATTCTCCTCCACCTCCCTCACCTCCTCCTCCTCCTCCTCCTCCGCCTCCTCCTCCCTCACTTCCCTCACCTCCCCCCTCCATTCCCCCTCACCTCCACCGTCACCCTCCCTCCCTCCTCTTCTCCTCCTCCTCCTCTTCTCCTCCTCTCCTCCTCCTCCTCCTCCTCCTCCCTCTTCCCTCCTCCCCTCCTCCTCTTTCCTTTTTCTCCTTTTTCTCTTTTTTTCTCCTTTTTCTCCTGCTCCTGCTGCTCCTGCCTGCTCCTGATGCTCCTGCTGCTCCTGCCCTGTTCTGCTGCTGCTCCTCCTCCTCCTCCTCCTCCTCCTCCTCCTCCTCCTCCTCCTCCTCCTCCTCCTCCTCCTCCCTCCTCCTGGCGGCGCAATGGTCTGTAGACGCGCGCCCACAATACCGCGGCGATCTCTAGGAAGAAGAAAGGCGGCGCGGCGACCGAGTAGCCGACCTCCGCCAGCCTCCCGCGCCGCCCCGGCCCAGCTAGGCCGCTCCGGCAGCTCGCAGCTCGGCAGTCCGACCGGCGTCGTCGGCGCCGAGGGCGGCGCGGAGCTGGCGAGCGGTAGCCCTGTGTAGGGCCACGCTCAGCTCCTGGCCCCACCAAGTGGCCAGCGCGCTCGCGGCAGCCGCTGCGGCCTCCTCACCCACGAGGGCCGCCTCCGCCACCTCCCCGCGCGCGAGCTCCCAGAGGTGCCAGAGGGCAGCGCGCCCGTGCTGGCCGCCCGTTTCCACGGCGAGGGGCGGCCCCACGGGGCGCGGCCCGCCGGGTAGCGCCTGCGTTTGTCGGCCTCCGCCTCGGCGTTCCCCGCGCCGTCCCGCCCCGCCGCGGCGGCCAAGGCGCGCTCGCCCCCCGGAACGCAGTAGCGCACAGTGGCGTCGAGGAACAGCTTGGGGCAGTCCGCCCGCTGAACCTCGGGGTCCAGGGTTGCCTCCTCTCGCTCCGCCTGCAGCGGGGCCCCGCAGCCGCCGCAGGGCGCAGGCCAGCGCCGCCTTCTCGCTCCGCGCAGCGCGAAGCACGCTTGCGCATCTTCGCATCCCAGCGCCGGCAGGCTCAGAGAAGGGCAGCTCTCCTGCCCAGACTGCGAAGCGCAACGCGCGACGATCTCTCCCGCCACTGCGGAGGACCTATGGCTACCACTGCAGAGCGTCCCAGCCCCTCCTCCCTTCTCTTCCTCTCCTCTCTGCTCATCCTCGCTCCTCCCCCTCCTCCCTCCTCCTCCCTCATCCCCCTCCCTCCCCTCCCCCTCATCCTTTCGCCCTTCTCCTTTTCTCTTCCCTCCTCCCACTCTTCCCCCCCCCTCCTTCTCCCCCCCCCTTCCCTCCCCTCTCACTCCAGCTCTCTCCTTCCCTCCCTCCCTCCCTCCCTCCCTCCCTCCCTCCCTCTCCCTCTCCCTCTCCCCCCCTCAGGCTGACAGTGAGCCTCCGCTGGTCGAGCGGTCGAAGTGTCCCCTCCGCGGCAGGGCAGCCACCCCTGGGCCGAAGCGGCGGCCTCCGCCACCGCACCAACAAAGGGGGGGGCCGGGTGCGCGCGCCGTGCTCGAGCGCGCAGCCTCGTGGGGTCCCAGCCTCCGCGGGGCAGACCGGGCCGCGTGAGGATGCACCGTTTCTTTGCCCTCCAGGCCCAGACCCCCTCGAGTTAGGAGAAAATCACGACGGGAGGTTTTTCACTATTTTTGGCCTTTGGGGGCCCTTACCGGCCCTCGGGACCGTCAAAAAACGACTCAGGACGAAAAACCGGTCCCGGAGAATGGGTCGAGACCTCGGGGGGTCGACGTCATGAAAAAATCATGACGTCGGGGGTCTGAGGGGTGTTTGTTTCGCTGCGCGCTGCGGGTGCCCGACGCCAGCGCCGCGCTCCATGCAGTCTCCCCCGTCGCCAAGGGCGCAGACATGGGGCTGATTCGGGAATCGAACCCGGGACCTCTCGCACCCGAAGCGAGAATCATGCCCGTCCCCGGGTCACCCCAGCTTCCCGCATCGCACTCCGCGGCGCGCGACAGCGCCGCCCCCTTGGAGAAGGGCAGCCGCTTTGGCCCAGACTGGGACGCACGAAGCGCGATGATTTTCGGGCCCCCGCGGGTGACCTGGGGCGTTCCGCGGTGCTCTTTCACACGTGCTTGCGGTAGTGGGTCGAGACAGGAACGCTGTCCTTTCCACTTCTCCTCCCCTGCCTACGGCAGGGCCTCTGACCATGATGATCTGTCAGCCGATGAGCCTGCTGCTCCGAGGGAAGGAGGGCGGTCAGAGGGGGAGGAGGGAAAGCGAGTGTCTTCCAGAGGCGAATTTCAGCCAGCAGCAGATCTGATGCATGTCTTCCTCACTCCATTCCTTCTTCCCTGCTTCCTCTGTCATCCCTCCCTCCATCATATCTCCCCTCTTTCCTGAGCGACCCGTGCCGCCGTGTTCAGTTAGCTGCGCCGCCTGCTGCACAGGTGGCTGACGACTGCTCTGTGGGCGACTTTGGCGCCCATGCTGGATGTCCTCTTCTATGCTGTCTTTTCCTTCGCCCAGTACTTGCGCCATCGTTGCATTATTTGGGGCCGACACCAGTTCTATTCGACTAGTTGACAGCCTTGTATTTGCTGAGATGTGTTCAACGACTCACTACGATATGCCAAATCCTCCTCCTCCTCCTCCTCCTCCTCCTCCCCCTCATTTCTCTTCCTCCTCCCCTATTTCCTCCTCCTCCTCTTCAGTCCTCCCTGCTCCCTCCCGCTTCCATGCTCGCCTCTTCCTTCTCACTTCTCCTCCTCATCCCCCTCTCCTCTCCTCGTTCTCCGCCTCCTCCTTCTCATCCTTTTCCTGCTCTTCAATATCCACATCCAGAACCTGAATGTAGAGGCCGTGTACAGATCTGATCAAGTCTAAATTCGGGGGGGACGGGAGGACTCTTGTCAACCAGGTCATAGCCAACGTCGTCGTCATCGGTAACATCCCCAGCACTGTCGTGCTTGTCGTTACTGTCGTCGCCCCCGTCCTTGCTATTGTTCAGGGGTGGGCCTCCGAATGGGGATCGTGGGGGGCAAGGAGCGAAGAGGAGCGCTCGGCTCCACTTCCCGACAGGCACGGGCCCGCGTGCTGCAGATGGCACCGGCACCAGCCGTCCGCTCCTCGTCCGTAGCTCGACACCCCCCGCAACCGACGGTCGCCTTCCCGCCTGTCCGGGCACTGACTGCGCGGAGCGCTGCGTCTGAGCAGACCCCCCGGCCGCCACGGGGCCCTGCCGACGACCTCCGCGGAATGCCCACCCGGATGCGTCTGAGCAGACCTGCGTGCCACCACGGGGCCCGTCCGATCTCTCCCCCCCCCGCGCGCTGCTCCTCCGGGTGCCTCTGAGCAGACCCCCTCCGCCGCCGTGGGATCCGCCCGACCTCGACCGCCGCGCGCGCTCGCACGGGGCCCCGGCCGATCTCGACCGCCGCGCGCGCTCCCGCGAGGGCGACCGCGGCATGCCGCGCGGGCGCGCGCCGGCCGGCGCGCGGCCGGCGGCAGTGGGCGCCCGCTGGCGGCGGCCCGCTGGGGCCGCGCAGAGCGAGGCGCGCCCGCTGCCGCTCGAGCGGCGGCAAAAAACAGCTGCGGACACCGCACGGCCTCGGGCCGCCACAACGCCTCGCAGGAGCCGGTATGATATTTCTAGAGGAAGCAGAAGCTGCATAAATATAAACTTGTCCTCCTCCTCCTCCTCCTCCTCCTCCTGCCTCCTCCTCCTCACCCTCAATATCCTGCTCCGTCTGCTCCTCCTGCTCCTCCTGCTCCTCCTGCTCCTCCTCCTCCTCCTCCCCTCCTCCTCTTCCTCCGCCTCCTCCTGCTCCTCGTCCTCCTCCTCCTCATCAACACCACCACACCACACCACACCACACATCACATCACCATCATCATCATCATCATCATCATCATCATCATCATCATCATCATCATCATCATCATCATCATCATCATCATCATCATCATCATCATCATCATCATCATACGCATCAGCATCAGCATCATCATCATCATTTTCATCATCATCATCATCATCATCATGATCATCATCATCATCATCATCATCGTCATCATCAGCATCATCATCAGCATCATCAGCATCATCATCATCATCAACAGCATCAGCATCATCATCATCAGCAGCATCAGCATCAGCATCAGCATCATCATCATCATCATCATCATCATCATCATCATCGTCATCTTCATCATCGTCATCGTCATCGTCATCGTCATCGTGATGATGATCATCATCATCATCACTATCATCATCATCATCATCATCATCAATATCATCATCATCATCATCAGCAGCAGCATCATCATCAGCAGCAGCATCATCATCATCGTCATCATTATCATCATCAGCAGCATCATCGTCGACACTGTCATCATCAACATCATCATCATAATCATCATAATCATCACCACCACCCACCATCGTTGTCGTCATCAGCATCATCATCAACATGATCATCATAATCATCATCATCAGCATCATCACCGTCATCATGATAAAATTATTCTTCATCGTCATCATACTTATCATCATCATTACCATCATCATCATGATCATCATCATCATCATCATCATCATCATCATTACCAGCACCATCACCATCACCATCGCTAGCATCATCAACACCACCATCATCGTTAGCAGCATCAGCATCAGCATCAGCTTCATCAGCATCATCAGCATCCTCATCCTCATCCTCATCCTCATCCTCATCCTCATCCTCATCATCATGATCATCATCACCACCATCATCATACGCATCAGCATCAGCATCAGCATCATCAGCATCACAATCATCATAACCATCACCAACCAGCATCAGCAACACCATCAACACCATCTGAGCATCATCGTTATCATCATCACCATCACAACCATCACCATCAGCACCATTATCATCACCATAATCACCACCACCATCATCACCAGCATCGGCGTCATTATTATCATCAGTGTCATCGTCGTCATCACCATGATCATCATTATCAACATCATCAACATCAACATCATTATCACAACCACCACGATCATCACCATCATCATCATCATCATCATCATCATAATCATCATCACTATCATCATCATCATCATCATCATCATCATCATCATCATCATCATCATCATCATCATCATCATCATCATCATGCTGCCCCTCCCATGAATTACCCACGACGCCCATAATAATCCCTATATACTGCCCAAGAAACCCGCATAGCCTTAACCGTGAACTTCCCGTCTCTTCTGGGGGTCGGCGGACTGGCGTAAGCCTCTTGAGTATAAACTGTCGGATGACCACGCGGATCTCCGAAAGTTTAGGTTGATGTAATGATTCGTTCCCCGATGGGCCACGAGGGGAAAGAGAGGGCCTGCTGGAGGCGACGATTGGGGCGACTAGCCCAAGGGCGGGCATTCTTCTCCAACTTTTGCTTGTGCCATTTTCCAGCTCCCGGGACCGTTTTGGCGGGCTCTGGACACAGAGGTCCAAGGCGTCTTGCTTTCTTAAATACGCGGTCCCCGGAAGTCCCGACCCTTTCCCTGGGGCCCGACCAGGGACCAAGGTCCCAAGAGGGCGACAAACGCCCAAAAACGTCAATCGTGTTTGTTCGCGACGCAAACCTGTCTTGGCCTGAAATTATCAGCAAAGGATCCGGGACGAAAAGAGCTGGTCTCCGCTAGGGTCAGGTGCGCGGCGCTGGTCGCTGGAGGCCACCGTGCGGGCCGAGAGCTTCTTGCGGGCCAGGTCGGGGAGGCAGCGTACTCGGCCACCGCAAGAGAGGGTCGACACGCTGGACGGCAAGGGCGCGCGCGAGCCAGGAAAGAAAGCTCGGGCGCGGGGGCTTCTAGGCCGAACCTCGTGGGCGGATGTACGGTGGCCTGAAGCCAGAATGAGAGGCCAGCGACTCAACCTCAGTCTTGGATGGAAATACCTCCTCCTCATCCTCCTCCTTTCCCTCCCCCTCACCTGTCATCCCCTCCCCCCTTTCTCCCTCTTCATGTCCTCATCCTCGTCATCCTTACCACCATCATCCTGCCATTGGCAGACTGCCCTCCCCCCCTCCCTGGGCACCTGTCATACTCGATAATGGAAGCCAGACGAAACCCTGCCCCGACCTCCGCTTGATCTTCCTCATCTCCTCCCCTCCTTTCCCGTCCCCTCCGTCCGCCCGCCCCTCCCTCCCTCCTTCCCTCCTTCTCGCTCCTCCGCATCCCTCCTCATCCGCCGCCTGCTCCTCCGCCTGCTCCTCCGTCTCCGTCTCCGCCTCAGCCTCCCCCCCCTCCTCCTCATCCTCCTCCACCTCCCTGACCCCTCCCTCCCTCCCTTCCTCCCTCCCTCCCTGCCTCCTTCCCTCCTCCCTCCTACTTTTGGGGTTGCCCGTTCGTTGAGCGATGACCCATGGAGTCTAATCTCACTCCTCTTCCTCCTCCTCCTCCACCTTCTCCTCCTCCTCCTCCTCCTCCTCCTCCTCCTCCTCCAACTCCGCGTCTTCCCTGCTCCATCTTCATCCGTCCTTCTCCCTCCTCCCTCCTCCCCTCTCCCCACCCCTTGCCTCCACTTCCTTGCTCTCCCCTCCTCCCCAGACCTCCGTCGACTCGATGCTTTCGAGTCGGGTGGTGCTGGTAAGGATTTCTCGACCCGCGTCTCGCAACTGGCTTTCCATCCTGCAGCCCTTCTCTGACGCTCCTCGGGGGGGGACCCAGGAAGCGGCACCCGCCAGAAGCGGAAAGCGGCGAGATAGACCTACGGCTTGACTTTTCCGAGACATCCAGAGGTCTAGCTGGACGTCGGTGGAGGCCCAGTGGCCCCAGAGTAGACCACGAGAGGCAGCTGGAGGTCCCCCAATGGGCGGGGCGTTGACCGAAGGAACCCTGAATCAGGAACGAGGACCACTGTTCCATAAGTTGAACTTCGATTTCCCATGGACGACCTCAGGAAAACCTGGGGCGAACTGCAAAACAAGTGAGGAACACTTAGCCACTCCCAAACGACAAGGGTTCCTTATTCAGCGCCCCGACTGTAAGATATCGCGCCCTCGCGGGTGACCTAAAGATGAACTGTGAATCTCGGAGGGCCAGCGCATCCGGAGGATGGTATCACTTGCCGCAGCTGTACCAGGGTGGACGTGTCGGCAGGGCGGACTGGGCGTTTAGCTCGAGACGTCCTCAGCATTTCTGACGGTGAAACTTGAAGCTCGCAACAATCACGAGGATTGAGCACAAGTCGTTTTCAAAATAGACTCTCGCCTTAGCGCCGCTGGCATTCTTCTTCCACGCTTCCAACAGTCACAGGGATGGAGCACAAGTCGTCTTCAAACTGGAGATATCGCCTGAGCGCCGCGCGCAGTCAACTGAAACCCTTGTAGTAATTCCAAGAATGGAGCACGTCGCGTTTTCAAACTGGACTCTCGGTTGAGCGCCGCGCGCATTCGTCTTAGCAGCTTGCAGCAGCTGAACAGATGTAGGGCGATCCTGTTTCAAAACGGGGCTCTCGCTTGAGAGGTCCGCACGTAAACAGCCAGAAGCTACAACGGGTGTAGCAGCTGCACGGATGCATGGCGGCTCGTTCCAAACTGGGGCGCGTTTCATGACCATCAATGAAAGCTCGTGCAAGGGCTGCATGGACAGGGGGCGCTCCTTTTCAAGACGAGGGTCTTGCAGGAGACATCGTGACCTGTCTGATCACACCTCTTGCGCATCCGTGATTAAGGATGCAAAGCAGCTCCTTGTCAAAACGGGGCCCTCGCCCGAGCCCGTAGGTACTAGTCTTTGAGGGGGGGCGTCTTGCAATGACGAGACATGCGAGGGATAAGTTGTAGGGACTTGTGAGGAGGGGGCTCGGGACTGAAGGGTGTATTGCAGCGTCGCTGGTACATCTTGGTTTCACTCTGGTCCTCCTCCTCCTCCTCCTCCTCCTCCTCCTCCGTTCCTTTTCCTTATAGATAACTTCTCCCTGTCGCACCCCGAGGCCAGTTTTGCTTAAAATGTGAAAACAGCTTCACAGATGGAGGGCGGGTGGTTTTCAAAATGTGGCTCTCGCCTCAGCGCGGCGCACATTCGTTTCAAACATACAAGAGTTTCACACACGGAAGGCGGGTGGTTTTCTAAATGTGGCTCTCGCCTTAGCGCGGCGGACACTCATTGTGAACATTTACAAGCGCTTCACGGATTGAGGGCGGGTAATTTTCAAAATGTAGCTCTCGCCTTAGCGCGGCGCACATTCGTTTTAGACATTTGCAAGAGCTTCACGGATTGAGGGCGGCTCCTTTTCAAAATGTGGCTCTCGCCTTAGCGCCGCGCAAATTCCATTTAACAAATTGCAAGAGTTTCGCGGGTTACCATCATCAACGTATCAGAAATGGCGTTTTGGAAGGTTTCAGGATTATGCGGGCGCACCAATTACGTTGGTTCTCTGTGTTGAAGTCCTAGGAATGGCGTTCTGGCACGATTCAGGGTCGTCAAGACGCAACAGTCAGGTTGATCCGTAGCGTTCGAATCCCGAGAACAATGTTTTGGCATGCTTCAGGGTCTTCACACGAGGTGTCCTCCAACGAAGCAATTTCATCAATGGAAATGAACCGTTATAGGGGCCTATGTGGAGGGAGGGTTTACTCCAACATCGTTGATGACTCTTGGGTTTGCACTGGTCCTCCTCCTCCTCCTCCTCCCCCTCCTCCTCCTCCTCCTCCTCCTCCTCCTCCTCCTCCTGCGCACGTGCCCCACACACGCCGAGCCTGGCTGCAGGCCGTCGGCGCCCCGCGGTGCTCTGCCGACGGCGAGTGCGGACCGGGCGGGCGCCCCTTGCGGCGAAGCTCCGGAGCGAAGGCGCGCGCGGCAGGGGCTCGACCGCAGGAAGCCTCCCACAGGAGACCCAGCCCTGAGACTCCCCAGGACGCGGATGGGTTTTCGGTGCGGGGGCGTCACGCTTTCCCTTGGAGAACCGTCGAAGCCCAAGAGACCCAGGGCACGCTGGAGGCAAGCTGGGTGTCTCTTGGCGTGGGTCTCCACTGTGATGCTCGCCCCTGGGCTGTTCGCCCCCGTTGTCGCCTCCGGAGAAGTCGGCCAGGAGGGGGGATTTGCTTCTCCTGGCACAGTATCACTGGTGACCCTGTCACATCGCGATTCAAATTGTCGCTGGGCAGAAGCGCCGCGATCCAGAACGTCTGTCAGGAGGGGGGAACGCAAGACGAAGCCAGGACGAGGACAGAATCGAGAGAGGATAAATCGAGGATCTCTGAGAGCCAGCGGCTCGGATAACTCGAGGATCTCTGAGAGCCAGAGGCTCTGGAGGATGTCTCGGGCGCCGCGGCCTTCTCAGAGCGTTCCAGAACGCTCTGGGAGCGCCCTGGAACGCTCGAATTGATCCTCGTCCTAGCCCCACCCGACAGAAAGCTGGTCAGGAAGGGGAATCTAGCCAAATCCCTTCAGAATCGGTCTCTGGACCGCTCCTGGGGTCCATCTGGTAGTTTTTTCATCCAAGGTCAGCTTCTCGCGGTCCAGGGGCCCGAAAACGGAGGAGGAGGAGGAGGAGGAGGAGGAGGAGGAGGAGGAGGAGGCTGGAAAAAGCCGAACACCTCCCCGAACCCAGGAACCTCGGACCTGCCCGCCCTCCCTGCTGGGCTGGGCCAGCTCAGGCCCCCCAAGCGGCGCCCAAACCCGCGCCTCGCCGTCTCTCGCCGTTCCCCCCCGCGGTGAAGACGATCTCCCCCGCCTCGTCGTCGAAGTCCTCCGACGGCCCGGCCCCGGGGACGCAGGGCAGTTTTTTCTGCCAGCTCGAGGGGTCGCCCAGCGGCTCAGGAGAGGGAGCAGCAGGGGGAAGGACGAGCAAGAGGAGCAGCAGCAGCAGCAGCAGCAGCAGCAGCAGCAGCAGCAGCAGCAGCAGCAGCAGCAGCAAGCAGTGCAGAGCAGGCACGGTCGGGGGGAGGCAAGGCACACATGGGGGGGCGAGGCACGAGAGCAAGGCGCGGGGCAAGGCGGCTCGAGACATCCGCGCCCGAGGTCTCTCGGGGCGTCAGGCGACCGGGAGGCCCCTGGGGCCGCCGTGGAAGATCGACTCGGGATGGGAGCCAAGTCCCGGAGAGAGGCGGAGGTCGAGAGCTCCAGGGGAGCAGCGGCCCGGAAGGATCGAGTCTCGTCGGAAGTCTTGAGGTGAGTGGGCACGGAGAAGGCGAGAATGGTGTCATGGTAAAATTGGCTCAAGATGCTGTCTGAAAATTCTTGAGTCTCTAGCGGCCCTCAGCCATTTCCCTTGCCGCGCGGAACATCCAGAAAAGCATAATTCGGAGGTAGGGGGGGTGAGAGATCACAGTGGGACGGAGAGCCCCCCACCAGGGAATCGGTTTCGGATTCGTGTTCGTGTCGTGCGTGCAGGCGAGGCGAAG